CCCCAAAACCCCAAAACCCCAAAACCCCAAAACCCCAAAACCCCAAAACCCCAAAACCCCATATAAAAACTACTCAACTGGACTATATTAATTTTACAAAAGTGAAGCGTAATGGATTCTCAGAGCCCAAGAAATGTAAGCTAAGATCTTTTCTAAACCTGCCATAAAATTCTCAAAATATGTATCCAATCCATGATGCATTTGGATGAGATTGTTAATGTATCTCTTCCTTTAGAAATTATTCATATAAATAAGTAATAATTCCATGGCATATAGAAATTATTTAAGAGCAATTTGACTTCATTGCTTACTAAGAGATTAAGTAAAAGTGAGCACCCAGGACTGAAGAATAAAAAGGTAAAGTCCTCTTGTACATTTCTCTTCAGCCATTTTTCTAAACCTCTCAGGACTCTCTAAACTTGTGTAGATTCATAGGAAGAGTATCGGAGGAAAATTTACAATAAAATAAGTTCAAATAGAGTAATTATGCAAAAGACAAGAGAAAGAAAGAGATTAAAATTTATTTCACCAAATATCAAGCGGAATCTAAAACACCAAGAAAGTATGAGCTTCTTAGACCTGGCTAAGAATTTATCAAATATAAAGGTAAACATCATTCTACGCTCAGTATTTGGTAATAACTTACTGCAGGATCCATCTACACCAAACTTTGGGTATGAAGAAACTATCCTCCCCTTCGGTGGCAAGAAGCCAGTTTCCTGGAAAGTTGTGGCTGATGCACTTGGAATCCACAAAGATATCTTAGAAGAAACCCAAAGACCCAAGAAGAAAGTAACAATTAAAAATCTGAAGAAAATAGTAAGACCTCCGAAGAAGAAGTCACGAAGACTATCCTCTATTCGGAATATTTCTTCTACAGATGCTTCCCAGTTCAAGATTGGAAATCGAATTATCGAGCAAGCAAAGGAAAAGAAGAAGAATTTTGAGAAGGAACTAGAGAAAAGATTGCAGTCAATGAAAACAAGAAATTTAAAATCAACAATGACTCTTGAAACTCTTGAAAAGAATGCTATTGATAAGCTTACAGATTCACAAATGAAGCCAAAGGATATTATAAATATTATCCAGAACAGTAAGGTTCATCAATTATTAGCTTCCCTGACAATTCTAGCGAAAACTACCTAACAAATTGCTTGATGGCCAAATCTTGGCGAAAATGCCCTATTTCAAAATCTGGAAGATAAAGAAAGATGCAAAGAATCTTCAAGACAAGATTAAGGAAGACCGTAAAAATACTCGTAATATGTTTAAAAGTACTCTATACTCACGAATTCTAGGTTCTGATAATCTAAATTACACCACAGAGGACTTTGATAAAGCCCTGACTAGTCCTGAAATTCAGGAGATTACTTCTAGTAGCTTTGGCTTTATCTTTAGAAAAGAAATCAAAATACAGGATTCTGTCAAAAACTGATTTATTAGGAGCTTCAAAGACTTCAAATATTGATTTAATGACAAAGAATAATTTTAAAGAGTTGTTTTATAAAGTCCTTACATATTTGAAGAAGGTTAAAGATGAGAAAAAGAAGCTTGAGAGTATATACTCTGATGACCACCGTCCTAAGTTTGTCATAGTGAAATAATCATCTATCTAAGGATGAATTAGACCAAGATGCTTCTCTATATTTACCCCAACATACAAGTTGTAGTAAGGGAGCTCATTTTAGGAGATTAAAGAATTTACACCTCAATTTTCTTAAAATTCTAGAAAGAAGGCTTGAGAGTTTTGACAAGGATTGCTCTAAACTTCTTCAGTGCACAAATTGTAGTAGCAAGCATAACTTCAAATAAAGCTAAAAAGAACCTACAGATTATTTATGTTCAAGTAAAGAAGAAAAATTTTAAGTTTACCATCCAAGGAGAAAATATTTTTGAAGCATTCAATAGTAATCTCTTCTTTCTACATATAGACAACTGTGTGAAGATTTTTAAAGAAATTTACAGACTCAAAGTCCCATTACACAACCTCGCGCAAGAATTCCAATCCCTAAAATTCCGTCACCATAACGTCCGGTCTTTATCCAGCGACAGAAGTTCCAGGCTAGTCCTCTCCAATGCAACCAGCTACAAGCCTCCATGCACAAGTTTTTCCATATAACCCCCTAAACTTTCAAAAATTCCTAAATCTATCTTAACATTCCGCCTAAACATCCAAGCCAAGGGCTGGCCTTGGGGTTTTGGGGTTTTGGGGTTTTGGGGTTTTGGGG